TATATAAACCATGCGGTATTAAAGAGACAGCTTGCACAATGTAATTAACATCCAAATAAATTCACAAGAACAAGTATATTGTTTGCACATGTTTATTTACATTAAAGGCAAAATAACTGAAATAATAAGAGCACAAGTATAGATCTGGAACTTCTTTAAGTCTAAATATTTAGTAATTGCAATGTCTTCTGGTCCATCCTTTCCTTAGGAAAGTGAGCTAAATACTGACTAATGTACTATACATATTTATATATTTTGCTATTGTATCATGGAGTGACACTTTCATAAACTTTTCTATACCCCTCTGATTATATAATGGTAAATATTACAATATCATAGCACAACAACAGTGATCAGCAATAATGATAAGCCTAATACTCACAATAAAAATAATAAGGTCATATATATCATAACACAGTCTTGGAGGTAAGAAGTGGATTATCCTTCACCTGAAATGTTTGTCTTTTCATCCTGAAATGCGAGGCAAATGTTGGATCACAGTAATTAGGAACCACAGTTTCCACAAATCCCTTCATTTGATTGGGATGTTCTCTTTTATTCTGAAGGGCAAGGGCAGTGACTGTAACATCGAGAGTATTTTGCAGTATTAAACAAAAAAGCGAAATGTTTAAATATGTTGTAAACTTTTACATGGTAAATATTACATTCATAAACAAATATTTGCGAACTGTATACCTAAATGTGATTATACCCAAGTTGTTAAAAAAGTCCTTAGTGTTAATTAATAACAAAAAGAATGAAATTGTTAAATTTTATGGAGAAATTCTTTGAAAAAAATAATGTCCCCGCTATGCTTTTCAACTCAATTGTGGGAAAAGAAAGAAATATCTGTTTGATTGCTTGTTTTTTTAATTAGTTTGTTCCTGTATGTTGTAATAATGTGAATAGGTTGTTGTAACAAAATTCTTAGTTCGGGAAGAAGGAGGCGGGAACCGGCGAACATTTAAAGGAAACTTTAATAATAAAATAACCACAAAATAGCGCGCCAGCCCCTCGCGGACGACTGTCGCGCACAAACAAAACCAAAACACAAAATAAACTCCAGGCCTGGTCCTCTCTCGTCTTTCACTGTCGTCACTCCTCCTTTGTATCCTTCCGGAGCTCCTCCGTGAGACTCGAGACCGGTGAGTGGTGCAGGTGTCGCTTATTATCAATTACTCCACCGGCCTCGCTCCGTTCCCACGGCTCTCGGCCCCGCCCCTCTCGTCACAGTTGTGTTGTATTTATATGTTAAAATCTTTTTGTTAATCTTGTTTAAAGCAATAAAAATAAATAAATAATTAAATGTGCTCTCTAATTAGTGATGAAAGACCTTACAATAAAACGATTAACTACAATAAAACGATTAAGTGCATTGCTTAAAAAAAAAAAAAAAACAATAATAGCAAACAGTCCTAGAATTAGCTGGTCCAAAATGGTCCAAACAAAAAAAATAAACAAAATAAATAAATATATAATATTTCAATAGTTAAATATTCATTCAGGCAAACGTGATCTCTTACATATTTTGAGATTTCTTTCTTTCCTTCTTTATTTCTATTTGTGTATGGATTTAATCGTGTAAATCCTATGAATTTAATCCTATAAAATCAGACCAGGAGATTACGAGATTAAAAATCTGCAGTATCCCACACTTCCAAATGATTACCATTTGAATTTTTGCAAATAAATAAAAAGTAACACACCATAATGTGGCTATTGATGCGGGTGATATATTTGTACAATTATGAAAATGTTTTGTACTTCACAGTATTATATTTACAAGGACAAAAAAACAACAATAAATCTCTCTGATAACAAGAATAAATAATATGGGATCATGTGAATCAATGTACTATTTTTGCCCCCCCCCCCCCCAAATTTGAGTATCCATACGTAGACAGCCACAAGTTGACTAATATGTTGGTATAAGGGGGATGTACTATCTGCTTTAAAAAAAATTAAAATTTCATATTTAAATAAATTAAAAATATTTCATACATGGAAAAAAAAAAAGTCAGTTCAAAGTTGACTTAAAATACTATAGTCCCTGAAACCATTATATTTTTTTAGAGTAGTTAGTACCATGATTGAGATTTATAGTTTAAAACATTTCTTATAATTATACACATTATATAGCACAGCACATCAAAACAGAGTTAGTTGTTTTCAGTCCATTTTGGTTTCTTTTACACAGATTTCCACAGATAAGAGGACCTCTTGTGGCTATAATTAGTAGCACATTCTGCACAAGTTCCAGGTATGGCATACACATGTACATAAGAAATAAACTCAAAATCAAAATCTATATATGCGGACTGTAAAGGAGTGTATGCCTGTCCTCATGTATAATATGGCCCAGTTTAAAATGCTGATCTAAATAAAATAGAAAACAAGGAACTAACTCTGGATCAGCACTTTCACTCTAAGAGCTAGTATCATTTAATTATAAATCCATTTAAAACAGAAATTTTAAACATCTTAGTTTAAAGGAATATTTGACCACACAATAAAATTTTGCATGTAGACAGTGTGTAGTGCTATTCCCTCCCCCCAAAAAAGTGAATGGTGTTCATGACATTTCCATGTGTTGCACAGTATGTCACATGACCACTTGTGACTAGTGTAAAACAATTCATTCTGAAATTAATTTTGAGAACTGCGGCAGAGGGGGAAATTATCAGTGAATAAGTCTGATGATGAGGTCCTTCAGGTGGAGAGTGCGAAAGTGGTTCACAAAAGCAGATACTCCCAAAACAACACATGCTAATTCTGCAATAAATGGATCTCTCAGCTGTTGGTGTTCTGACAGTATGTAAGTCCAGAATGTGGACACATTAGAAAAGAGTCAACTGCATGTACTGGGTTTTGTTAGTCTTTGATGATGTATTTTTCCTACAGCACAGCCTGTGTTCTCTATTTAGCCTTCTCTTCTTCTAGTCGATTCATGGCCTGGATTACCGCCATCTCTTTGGCCTCTTTTTTCTGGTTTCTCGCCTCAAACAGCAGCCTGGCAGGCACAATAAGGAATAATACTAGCATTGCATTGATCATTGCTGACAGTGCCATCAAGTGGTTTAAAGGAAAATGAAGTCAAATGAGCCCTTTACCCCAGTGCGCCTCTAACCCAATTGTGCCCTATAGACTGGTTAAGTTAATGCTGCAAATGACAGTAAACAAAGAAAGTGGTCACCAGTGACCTCCTGCATGTTAACAGGTCAGAGTTGAATGTAGCACCTGTTTTTGATGATCCTCTGCACAATGCCATCAGTGGTGAGACTGTTTCCACTATCCATTTTTTGCAATATTCCCATTTTCCTGGGTACCTATGCGTGGAAAACATGCACAGATTATAAAACAGAAGTGTATTGTGCTGCCATTTTGAGTAATTATCATTGTGACACTCACAGCATATGGGTCTGATCCATCTCTGTCTGGAAACACTTCAGCTTTCCCATGGCACACCAGGTCTACCTACACCATGGGGACAGTGTATTACTCTATGGCCATGTTTACACAGCAGAATATGGTTTACCTAATTTATCAGTTATGTTCCCACACAAATCGGTTATTACCAAGAGTAACTGCATTCTATAACCAAACTGACTCCCTTACATTTTCAGGATTCTCAACTGAAGTTTTGACCTACATGACCTTTACCTCCTCATGTAACTCTACAATACAGATGTGCCTGAACCTGATTACCATAGATAATGGCTTCAAATCGAGAAATTAATTCTACCAAATAATAGTAAAATAATATTCAACAAACACAGTCACTCCTCGTGTTTGCTGGATAACAGGTGAAGAATAATTTTATTGTTATACAAGGTGTACAGTAAATACTGTTGTCAATCCTAAATACTGTCTGTGTGAACATGGCCAAATGAGATGGCATGACTACTGGCCACAGTTTTTATGCTAATGGTCAAAAGCCGGTGTTATATCTAACTCTGTCAAACAGGTCTGACAAAAGTAAAGAATCAAATTCACCACAATGTAAGAGTGTTTACCTTGAAATGTTCCAGTAAGTCTTTTGTGACAGCATATGGTGCTCCTATAACAACCTCAGAGACATACTGGGAGATTTGAAAACAAAATAAAGAAATTCAAATCAAACTGTTAATAACAAACATATCAAGACATAAATGGGCATGAACTGCAATGCAATGCAAGATCAATCCTCACTTGACAGGCCAGCACACTCAGAGTCCTCTCATGGATGTTCGTGATGGGATAGTTTTTCCCCTTGTAACGATTCACCTCCTAGAGTGATGATAATAAAACAAACAAACATGCAGTTCCTCCTTTTCTCACATCTCTTATGTCCTTTCAAAAACAATGAGCATCATGCTCAACCAAGAAAATTACAATTTATATTTCCTGTAGATATTTCCTAAGATTTTCCTGTATTCAGCTTACCTGATCAAAGTGCAAGCCCACAATAACATATGGCTTCTCTGAAAGCTGGGACACTGCATCCAGGAAATCCACATGGCCAATGTCTGAATTGCATCAGGTCAAAGAGGACAACATTAATATTGTTTTACTTGCGTTCTCAGAAAAAGCAAAGAATGCAGGGGTCTCAAGGGCAAAACAATACAGTATGTACATTCACAAATCAAGTAAGAAAAACTACAGCACAGGTAAAACTACCCATGGTGACAAAAAATCTATGGCCTAATTTGTATTTTCCACAGAGAGAATAGGTAAGCTATTTAAATATTATTAAACAAATAGAACGTTTTAGACAAAAAAAATCAAAAGAGAGTTTTGAAGCCACTGAACCGCATGAGTGCGAACTAAGGAGGAGGACGGGCACCTGGGAGGGGGCCGGCAGACAGAGACCAGGTAGGCGACGAAGGAGGGAGGAGACAGGAGGGGCCCGGAGCAGGACGAGCACAGCAGGACCCAGGCCACAGCCATAATGGCGGCCCACGGTGGAGCCGACGGAGGGAGGAGCCATGGAGGAGGAATAGCCGCCGACTCCAGGGGGCCGACCAACGGCGGCAGAGAAGGCGGAGAACTGATGAGCCAGGGCATCAGGGAGGATCCGGAGGGCCAAGGCGGAGCAGATGGCGCCGGCGACTGACGTGGAGGTGGGGATCCGAAAGGCCATGGTGGAGCCAGAGCGACAGAGGACTGAGGAGGAGCCGAGGGGATGAAGGAGCCTGATGGAGCCGGAGGGACGAAGGGATGAGTCGAAGCCAGAGGAGTGGATTCCCGAGGCGCAGGATGGTCGAAGCCAGACCAAGGCGGAGCCGGAGGGACGAGGGAGCCCGGCTGAGCTAGTGGACTGCCGGGCAATGGCGGAGAGGAGGGAGCTAGGAGCCATGGTGGAGCCAATGGGTCCACGGGCCGAGGCGGAGTCCGGGGCTTAGAGGCTGGAGTCGGAGTCAAGGGAAACTCCAGCCATGACCCATCGCTGGAGGATGGTGGGCTGAGGGCGAGCAGAGGGGCTGCCAGACGACAGCGGAGGAGGAGGCAGGAGTGGGTGGGAAGGAGGGCATTTGTGAGCCTCCGGGCTTTCAGGTCAGAACTAAGGAACGGGAGCCCTCTCCTCTTCGGTGTGGCACAGTCACCGCGCCATACACAGCTCATGCTCAGCTACGGTGCAGGGGGCAGAAACTAAATTTTTACCTCATTTTTGCGTTTTCTTCGTGCCAGTTGCGGCGAGTTCAAAAATGACCGAGCAAGGTGTGGGATTATTTTGAATTAGAAGGAAGTGGAAAAGGTTTGTGTAAACTGTGTAATGTCAAATTGTCTTACAATAACTGGAGCGATGCGTAATCATATTCAATACAGACACGTAGGCGTTAGCTTAGAGGCTGGCCAAAGCCAGCAAATGTGTCAATCACATCATTCACTACAACCCGCCGGTGCTGCGATCCCATCCGCGCCATCTATTCCTCTAACGAACACCCACTTCGGTGATGGTGCGGGATGTCCAGGCGCTTTCTAAACTCTATCGGCTTGCTTTTCATTATCTCTTCGTGCCTGCGACTTCAGTAACCTGTCGAGCATGTTTTTTCAAGTGCAGGAATTTTATTGTTAATCGCCTCAGGTCCCGTCTTTCACCAGATAACGTTGATAATTTCACTGAACAACGCATGGTCTGAGTAAGTAAAATGGGCATTGTTGCATTGCTTTGTTTTTAGACAATATAGCCTACACGAAGTATGTTTTTAAAAGCCGTTTTAATGCCATTTCTTGATAAACCTTCCTATTGTTTTTGACTTGAGTTTTAATATGTTGGCTAACGTTATATGAAGATTAACAATTCTGTCAGGCTATTGATTGAATTTCCATTGTTCTGCATTTCCCCAGCTGATTTGAATAAATAAGCTATGCTTTGACCGACGTTGAGTGTATGCTCTTCTTTTTTTTCCTTTTTAACGACCACCTAAAATGAAATGATGAAAACGCGAGGCAAGTGTGCTGCAAGCGGAATTCATTGAGGGATTTGACAGTGTGATTCATAGATTAAGTATTTCAAATATAGGCTATTATATATGCTACACGCACGCACAGAGGTTTTTTTTTTCTTACCATCTTTTGGGGGTTTCTTGCTTTTAGTCTAGTCGGATACAAAACTTAGTAGTAATCTGGCTGGGGTCAGAATTGGGCACAACACCGGTTCACACACCTTAACTGACATCATCAGCAGCTCTGGCTCCGCGGCGATCCTCAGCTCTGTTGCTCCGTGCGGCGATGGCTCTGGCTCTCCGTCAGCGGTGGGCTCAGGCATGCGCTCCGCACAGCGGGGAGATGGTGGGCTGGGCACTGGGTCCGGAGTGGCACTGGTCTTGCCAGTGTCCACACCACAAAGGCGGCAAAGTTCGCTCGAGGACCATCTTCAGACGTCAGCGCTCTGCACGAGATGTTTAAACTGGTGTCATAGAATGCACAGAGCACGTCGTTAGCCATGCCGGTTTACGCTGAGATAATTCATACCCCTTCGTTTGAAGTGTGGTCCCGTAAAATCTTCGTTTGAAGGGCTGTCTGGCCCTTGCCCTACCCCTACCCCTCCAACCAAAAGAGAATTGAGACACCATGCCGGTTTACGCTGAGATAATTCATACCCCTTCGTTTGAAGTGTGGTCCCGTAAAATCTTCGTTTGAAGGGCTGTCTGGCCCTTGCCCTACCCCTACCCCTCCAACCAAAAGAGAATTGAGACACCCCTACCCCTTCACGTGAACGCGCAAAACGGAGGGGTAGGGGAAAGAGGAAGGGCTAAGGGATAGAATTGGGATTGGGCCTAAGTCTAGTCATTTTGTGTTGCCTTGTTGTCTGTTTCCTGATCTTGTGCCTGTGTATCTTGGATTAACTCTTTGCCTGCTGTTTCGGACTGTGTTTGCACCTTGCCTGGACTATTGCTTGCGTTATTGGATAACCCCTCGTGTCAAGCCCTCTGGATATTGTTCGCCGATTGTAGACCCACTCTTGCCCTAGGAATACTCTTTTTCTTGCCTGAAATGTACCTGCCACTGTTTGACCCATGCCTCTTATGACCACGTCTCTGTTTAATAAAAGCCTGCAAAGGGATCCGCACGTCTCTCGTCTCGTCGCCTCTGTTACAGAATACTCGGCCACACAAGGACCCAGCAGCTTTTCTGAGGAACATTGGCCAGGTATGGACACAGCAAGAATTTTGTTAGCCCTTAGACAAGGCCTGCGATCGCTGGAGAACTATATTCGCAAATATTTAGCCATAACACACTATTCTGATCTACCAGACTGTCTTTTGATAGAGTTTTTTTGTGATGGCCTTAATCAACCTCTACGATCTGAGCTTAGGGTCCGCGTTCGTCACTGAGTTGTTTTTTGGACTTTGCTTTGTTGACTATTGGCTCTCTAATGGCGGCCGCACCAGAGCGCTGATCTTCCAGAGTCTCGTCACGTCACAGCAGATCGTCTAGAGTCTCGTCACGTCACAGCTGATCATCCAGAGTCTCGTCACTTCCCGTTTGTTGCACTCAGATCTTCGAGGTCAGGTCTTCAGTATCCCAGACTGGCATCCAGCGTGGAGGATCCACCGCTGGTGTCAGCAGTCTGAGCTGGTATCCCCAAATCCATTCACTCTAGCCCTCCTGTTCCTGATCTGATTCCCCTGTCTGTAGCGCCTCCCATAATGGGGATCGCTTTATGGAGTGTTTGGGCTGCATACACCACCACTGAGACTCTTGAAACAGCGGCGCCTACTATGATGTTTCCAGAGGTGTCGGCTGATGCTGCAGAACCTCCCAAGGTAGTGGAGTACGCTGCTGTTTCCCCAGAGGTGATGACGCCCGCTGCAGCTTCTCCAGAGGTGGCGGTGTGTGCTGCAGAACCTCCCGAGGTGGCGGCGCTCACTTCAGCTCCTTGGTGGTGGAGCCCAGCAATGCACTCTCAGCCTGTCATGTTATGGTCGAAGGAACCGTTGATGAACGCTGTACCTGTCCTGTTAAAGAGAATATTAATGAACTCTCCCTATTTCCTGATGGTACTGCTGTAGAACTTCCAGAGGTGGCGGCATCCGCTGCAGAACCTCCAGAGGTGTCAGTAGTATCCACCTGTGAACTTCCTGTTTTTCCTGTCATGGCTATGGAGGCCGTCTGTGAATCCTCGTCCTGCCTTGTCACGGCTATGGAGGCCGTCTGTGAACTCTCTGCCTGTCCTGTCATGGCTATGGAGGCCGTCTGTGAATCCTGGCCTGCCCTGTGACGGCTATGGAGGCCGTCTTTGAACTCTCTGCCTGTCCTGTCACGGCTATGGAGGCCGTCTGTGAACTCTCTGCCTGTCCTGTCACGGCTATGGAAGCCGCTTTTAAACTTTTGTCCTACTCTGATCTGGCTGAGGAGGCCATCTCTGAACCCTCGCCCTGTTCTGAACCAGCCATGGTGGCTGATTGTGAATTGTCTCTCCATCTCGTCTCAAATAATGTCTCTGATTTCGAACTGTCTGTCTTACCTGTCTCTGTCAAGGAATCTAAACCTGAGCTGTCTGTCTGTCTAAATGCTTCTGTTGAGTCTGAATTTGAACTATCTGTCGGTCCTGATTTAGTCATTGAGTCTGTTGTCTGTCCAGTTTCAGCCAATGAAATGTCTACCAGTCCAGCTTCAGTTAATGCAACTAATTTTGAGCTGTCAGTCTATCCCATTTCAGCCCATGAATCTGTTTGTGAACTACCTGCCAGTCCAGTTTCCCTCAATGAGTCTGATTTTGAACTGTCTGTCTTGCCAGTTTCTGTCACTGAACTGTCTACTTCAGCCTCTGTCAATGCCCTTGATTGTGAACTATCTGCCAGTCCTATTCCAGCCAATGCATTTAACTATGAACCGTCTGTCTGTCCAGTCACTGTCAATGAACCCGATTCTGAATGATCTGTCTGTCCAGTCTCTACTAATGTGCCTGAGTGTGAATTGTCAGCCTGTTCAGTTTCAGTCAATGAGCCTGCTTATGAACTGTATGCCTATTCAGTTGTCACCAGGGAAACTATTAATTAACTTTTTGTGTTCCCTGCCTTGGCCCTTGAGGCTATAAATGCTCTGTCTGTCTCTTGTGTCTCAGTTTTCCCTAGATCCCAGTCTCTGCCTTGGGTATCTACTCCAGCCAGGGGGTCTTCTGCTCTGCTGTGGTTGTCTTCTGCTCCACCTGCTCCCCCTGGTGGGCTCCTGTTCCGTCTGCTCCGCCCTGGTGGGCTCCTGTTCCGTCTGCTCCGGCGTGGAGGTCTTCTGCTCTGTCTGCTCTGCCCTGGTGGGCTCCTGTTCCGTCTGCTCCACCATGGAGGTCTTCTGCTCCGTCTGTTCCGCCCTGGTGGGCTCCTGTTCCATCTGCTCTGCAAGGAGGTCTTCTGCTCCATCTGCTCTGCCCTGGTGGGCTCCTGTTCCGTTTGCTCCACCCTGGTGGACTTTTGCTCCGGACCTCTCTGCTCTGCTGTGGTGGTCCTCAGCTCCACCTGTTCTGCCAATTCCACTCTGGCTCCCTGTTCCACCCTGGTTCCCTGCTCTGCCTTGGTGCTCTGCTCTGCCGGCTTTGCCTCAGTCCCCAGTCACTCCATTTCCACATGGACCTGGCCCACCGTCATGGCTCAGTCTCTGATTATGGACTGTGATGACAATAAAACTTTTTTATGTGCCAACTTGGCAGAGGCATTTGAAGGCAATGCTAGCAGAAGGAGGAACAAAAGGGCAAAGCAGAAAAACAAGTAAACAATCCTGGGACCCTAAAGAGGGAGATCTGAGAATGACTAATCAAATTTCCGTTCTATTTGTACTATGGAATTCTGGGCTCTCTGTTGACATCTGTAGTTGAAAAAAAAAAAGATACCTGCAAAATTATTATTGCAGGCTTGCCATGCTGACTCGGTTGATTAAGGCAAGAACATGGTTTTGTACAATACTGTAGTACTGGCGGAATAATTTATTTATAACCAAAATACCCAAGAAATCCTCTGTAGTGTACTTCTAAACATTTCACTCTTAAAAAAAGTTTACAAGACTACAAGAATAACCAAAAGGAAATAAAACACTCACTCTTCCAAAGTTGTCTGTGTGCTGTTCATAGTCTGAACTGCCCTGAAGAAGAAAGAAAGATGGAGAAATTAATGTCCAATTTGACAATGAGTAATTAGAGCATACCAGAGACATATCAGTAATGTACTCTACAAAAGTATGCAAAAGCAGATGTGAATGCTTGGCCAGTGTATTGCACGCGTGTAAGTATTTAATGTACATTTTTGTGTTTCTGTGTCGTGACAAAACCTCAGTATTCTAGGTATTTTTTACAACATGAACAGATTTTTTTAACAGATACTTTTCATCATCAGTTCCAATACAATATCAATGAGGGTGTTACAGACATAAGGTGGAGGTGATAATGGTGTAAACATGGTACCAAAGTGACAAGCAAACCAATAAAACTGAACAACAGTATGATGGTAAATGTTTCCATAAAAACGGGTGTTACAATCCAAAATTATTTAATTGTGGCATGGACCATGCCAACCAACCAAACTCTGGCCCCTTGGACATGACAGTGAAACACTGATGAATTTATGCTAATGCACACTACAGCGCTCTATAATGCAACTGTGAATGCAACATGTACTTAAATTATGAACTGACATCTGACATATTTGAAATCAAGCTTGTCTAGTGAGAACTGTCAGCATTTACAAATGTTGAGGTTGTTTTGGGCCTCACCATGTTGCTGTGATGAGCTTTGGTCATGAGCAGCATGCGGCCAACCAGGTCTGTAGTGGAAACACCTTGGGTTCTCTTGCACTCTCTGTAAAGATCCACTTTAAATGAGAACCGCACTAAACATGTGCAAAACACTAGCAGTATGCGCTGCAGAGGTGTGAATGGGCTTACCTGTACCTACCCGACTTCTTCACTTCTTCATATGTGTCTTTCCCATCCACAGTAAGAGTGATGTCATCTGAGGAGACAGGACCACACTTGAGCTGATTCAGGTCATAATAAAGCTTTCAGAAGTGTTTCCATAATGAGTTTCACAAGGATGTGTCATCTGAGAAAAGACAATTTTACACTAGTGCTTCTTATTGTAGGTTTAACTCTGCGTACCATGTCAAAAGGAGTTTAACCAGTAAGTGGTGTTTTGAATACTGTGCCCAAAATTCTGTGCATGGAGGATCAAGATCAAGCAAGTTACTGAAAGCTTTATTTCCAGAGGAGAGTAGTGATGCAGTAACACTTTATATACTGTAATATAATGCTTAACAGATAATTAGTTAATATATATTCAAAGAACTAAACATGAGATAATGTGCTTTTTAATGTTTACTAATAACCTTATTAAACATTACCTAATGATTACAAGACTACAGGTAGTCCAAAATGCAGCTTCTAGAGTCCTTACCAGGTCAAGAAAATATGATCATATTACCCCAATTTTACAATCTCTACACTGGCTACCTATTAAGCTCTGTATCAGTTACAAAATATTACTACTTACTTATAAGGCCCTAAATGGTTTAGATCCTGCTCCTGCTTACCTAACCAGTCTTCTGTCATGCTACAATCCATCACGCTCCCTAAGGTCACAAAACTCTGGACTTTTGGTAGTACCTAGGATAGCAATGTCCACTAAAGGAGGTAGAGCTTTTTCACATTTGCCTCCCAAACTCTGGAATAGCCTTCCTGACAACGTTCGGGGTTCAGACACACTCTCTCTGTTTAAATCTAAATTAAAGACACTTAATCACTATCTTATAGTGGTTAAGAGTATTATCTGATCAAATGCACATTATCATTCTCTGCTTGGTTTGAACAGCAGCTATGCTAATCTTTCTCTATTTCCTTCTCCGTTTCTGCCACGGGATGGGAATCTTGAGGTAACTAGGAAAGTAGTTGTATCATACACTTTGTGTCAGATTGGCTGTCAGCGTTGATTGACAGGTTGTCATATGTCAAATGTGTACATGGTCAGATTTATGATCTGATTTATGGCTATATGACCCTCTGTCACCCTGACTGCCATGTCACCAGGGTCTTGTCACCCCTGACTGACATGACAGTAGGGTGTGTAAATCAAAAGATCAAACAGATGTTAGATCTGTCTTTTGATGTATTTATGACTGGATTTATGATGTTTTTATCTCTTACCTCCGCCATGGGCTTTTATGGAGTTCCTTCCTGAGCTGTTGCTCACTTCCAGTCTGGAGGTGTTTGGGTTCTTCCTGATTATGGAAAAAATGGCTAAGCAAAGAGTGTGTATTGTCACCTCAACAGGATCAATATTTGTTTGATCTATACGGTATATGTTAATGCGTAGTCACCAACAGTGTGGCTACCGACCCGTCTACATCCACCCCCCTAAGCAAGGAGGTTGTCTGGGGCATCTGGCTTCTGTGTTTGTGTTTTAGGTCAACACCTTTGGTGGATTGGTGTCTAGACACCAGAGCCCAAAGCTTCTCCCCTATCTGTTTCCTACCGTGATGTAGTCGGTGTCCGATATAATGTTTTAATATGTTTGTTAATGGGGATATGCTTTGTTTGTGGGTTGGAAGATATCCAGACACGTGTCCATCTCAAACCCCTAAACGGTTCAGTTCTGTTTGATCTATAGGCTAAATGTTGATAGCTAAGACATCACTGTATTGATTGTTTGCAACAATACTGGAATGCTCTGGCAATACGAATGTACAAAATATTTTCCATGCCAATAAAGCACCTAAAAACTGAAAACTAAAACATAGAATTAAAGAATTCACCAAAACCATTACCCATCACACTTTCTATATGCTTCTGAAAAGGTGTTATGTTTGGGCATGTTCTTTCTACCTCATCTGTATGCGTGTATGCTAACACCTCTGTAGGATCAGTACAAGCTAATCTAATTATTAAAAAATCAAAAACTATTTAAGAAATTTTTCATTTTAATCCAACCCATAGATAGTATGTATACTGTAAAATTACAAATATACATTTTTACTTAAAACTTCTGAGTAAAATAATTACACCCACAAGTTTAAATCATGTTTAAAAGGTTAAACACATTGTCTTACTAAAGCAAGGCATGCTGTCTATTGTCTTTCATTTTCTTTAAAATAGTCAGATGACCAGTATTGTTTCTTTAGAAAATTAATGCACCCTAGTGCTTTTCTCACATGAGTAGAAAACTCTTTGGATGGGTTTGTGACAAACATATATTTTTTACTTCAGAATTTTTTTTAATATATGACTGAACTTTTCTCATTTGACAGACCTATGTTTCAAATTATTTACCTGACCACTAAAATTTCTTAACACAAGACTTATACACTTTAACTATTGACTATTTTGTAGGTATCATGTCATTTTTAAATGACTTGCTAAAAGATTAAACACACTGTGATTTTCAACATGAAAGAAATGTACAAGCTAAGGATGTTTCAACTAGTATCATAATTTCCTTTTGACCCTGATAAACTGGTAATTTTCTATGCAAGTGACACAATATACAGTTCTCATACCATGTGTATAAATAGCTGTTCTAAAACATTTGTAAGTATTTTTTGCATGCCAACAGATTTTTGCCAGGGATATGGCACATCTAAGAATCACAATGTTTTATTCATTACTCTGTTTTTTTCTCTTACACCACTAGATTTAGTCATATTATCAAGATTTCGGATAGCCGTTCACAATTTGTTTGTTAGACTGTGTATGTTTTTAAGTGAGCTGTCATCATAATAGGAATAAATGAAAATTAAGAAATTAAGTTACAGTTTTTCTCTTTGAGATATTTCTTTTAGTGCAACTTTGTGTCTGTCCGCAAAGTGCGATCACATGAAGCATCAACACAAAAATTAAGTCTAGCTGTTTTACCCTTAAAACTATTACAACTGAAACAAATCAAACTATTGCACTGAAAGCCGCACATTCTTTAAAGTTTGAGCATGTTAAAGTTTCTTCGCTCTTGTAAAGAGTATAGATACATTTAATCCATAACCTTTCGTGCATTCAAGAGACCAAACCACTAAGAAAGAGAGTCAAGCAAGAAAATAAATGTTTATAATGCATATAGAATTCAGAAAATCTGTTTCATAAACAATTGGGAAAGTTTTTAAATGCGGATTTGTAAATGATATTTTTATTACCCACTTGATTTCATCTTGTTCAGATAGCAGATGACGCAATTCACATTTTGCTTGTTTGGCTGTATTTGTTTTAAAGGGGTCATAGTCATATGATGTTGCTAAAAATAACATTATTTTGTGTATTTGGTGTAATGAAATCTGTTTATGCGCTTTAAGGTTAAAAAAACACATAATTTTCCAGATACTGTACATTATTGTTTCTCCTCTATGCCCCGCCTTTCTGAAACGCGTCGATTTTTACAAAGCTCATCAGTCTGAAAAGCAAGGTGTGCTCTGATTGGCCAGCTATCCAGTGCGTTATGATTGGCCGAATACCTCAAGCGTGTGACGGAAATGTTACGCCCCTTGCCATATTGTGATGATGCCCTGTCAGGCCAGAGCAATGATTCAAAAACATGAAAACCCATTATAAACGAGGCATTCGTTGCATCCAGTGGGGACATAATTATGGATTATAATGACTTATACTGTCTTTTTACGCATTGCGTTGCATCGCGCCATGTAAACATAAAACCATGTCTGCATTTGTGATCGAAGAAATGACAAACAACAAGCCCTACTCTACACTGCCCAAAAAACTCACTTTAAATATAAAAATTATAAAATATAAAAACTATATTATATATTATATATCAAATATAAAAAACGTACTTACAGTCTGTG